TGATAACTATATTGAAATACAATTAGCTACAGGATCAGCTGTAAGACTCGAATGAAACAGACTCCCTGGGAAAGATAAGTATCAGAACCAGGATGGCAAGAGGTCTTAAAATCTCTCTCTTGAGCTGCTTTACATCACGACAAATTAGATATTCTGTTTAGCCGTCAATTGCACCAAATGTGCACCTCCCCCACATCAAGTTGGTTAGTTTATTTAGTCTGTACCCATGGTGAACAAAAAGGCAGAGACTGGAGTTCGTCAGTCCGAACAGAGCGGGTACTTTCAATAGAAGTCATTTAGGCGAGAAGTGCTACAACTGACACATATGAGTGTCACCTTCAATGTTTCCTGTGAGGAGAAAACAGTTCTCAGCGTAACCACTTGCTGGTAAAGTAAAAAGGACATCGTAACCCATTTTAAAACATACCAAGGAAATTAATAGCTGCAGAGCTAAGCTTGCTAAATAAAGCATCTTCGGTTTCTGATACTTCTGGGAGCGTTGATACCTGGTCACCCCCCCTTGACGCTCTGGTTTCATCACCCAAATCCCGAAGTCACTACAGGACACAGTAGTGATCCAGGAGCCAGCGAAAGGAACCACAGTGGACATCTGGGTACCAAACATCCTACATCACCGGAAGGGTGTTGGATTCTTCATCAAACTTAGCTCTGCAGCAGAGGCAGGTTGCAGGACACACAAGTATGAAGCTTTTCTTTGCAGAGATAAGAAAGAAAAACCCTCCCACTTTTTTTCTCTTTTAAAAGAGTAACATTCGCTTTTAAGTGACCCTCTCAGGGGGTCAGCAAATTTACAAAAGCATTAACCGGTGACAAACACGTTCATACACAACTGTCCGTTGGCAGGTTCACAGCTTTTTACATACTCGTTTACCAGCCTGAGAAGTCAAATCGAATCGGCACTGGGAGTTCTGCTACAATGTGAATTTGTAGGAAATGGGCTGACTGACAGGTAGTCACTGCGAAAAATAATGGCACCCCTGCATTTGTAAGATAATGCACCACTTTGTGCAGAAAATTGTTGCAATGACAAATGTTTAGGCATTTTCATATTTATTTTGTTTGTATTGGTATGACACAAAAAAAGTGGAGGAAAAAAAGAAAAAGCCAAATCTGACACATTCCACACGAAACTGCAAAAATGGACTGGACAAAATTATTGGCACTTTCTCCAAATTTCAAGAAATAATTGCATTCCAAGTTTGTGATGTTCGCACTACACGTCGCCATCTGAATGAAAAGGGACGCTATGGTAAGAGACCCAGGAGGACCCCACTGCTGACACAAACATAAAAAGCCAGATTGGAGTTTGCCAAAACTTACACGAGGAAGACGAAATCCTTTTGGGAGAATGTGCTGTGCACAGACGAAACAAAATGACAGATTTTTGGTAAAGCCCATCATTCTACTCTTTTCAGAAAAAGAAATGGTCTTTAAAAGAAAAAAAATGACATTCCCTACAGTCAAACATGGTGGAGGTTCGCTGATGTTTTGGGGTTGCTTTGCTGCTTTAGGCACTGAATGTCTTGACTGTGTGCATGGCATTATAAAATCTGAAGACTACCAAAGAATTCTGGGGTGCGATGTAGGGCACAGTATCAGAAAGTTGGTTCTCCGTCAGAGGTCATGGGTCTTACAGTAGGACAATGACCCAAAGCACATGTCAGAATGCACCCAGAAATGGTTTCAGGCAAAGCGCTGGAGAGTACTGGACTGGCCAGCAATGAGGAAAAGGAACCCTTCCCATCTAAGAGACCTGGAGCAGTTGGCGAAAGGAGAGTGGTGCCAATAATTGTGTTCAGTCCATTTTTGGAGTTTTGCGTGGAATGTGTCAGATTTGGCTTTTTTTTCTCCACTTGTTTGTGTCATACCAATACAGACAAAAGAAATTACCATGAGAATGCCTAAACATTTGTAATTGCAACTATTTTCTGTGCAAAGTGGTGCATTATCTGACAGAAATGCAGGGGAGCCAATATTTTTGGCCATGACTATGTATAATGCAGATTTATAGGTTAGTGCTTTTGTACATACAGTATGTTGATCCCCTCTGAATGAGTCATTTTAAGTACCGGTCATGTTTGTAAAAATGTAATCAAACCTGTTAAGTGACTGATGCACAACATTTTTTTTATATCTGGTTCTGAACAAATAAAAGACTGACTGATTGATTGATTTTAGTCTCATACTTTTATTTCAAAAATTTCAACAAGTCATATAAATGTGTTTTATACTTGTATAAAGTAATTTCCCCATATTTATAAAGTCTTTTGCAAGCATTGACATTAATGTGTAGACATTACACATTAAGAAAAGCTGAAACACAGTGATAGAGGTTAGCACAGTAATGGAACACAAATGAGGATATGCAGGGAAAAAAGATTCTAGGTTAGCGCCAGTTAGCTGCCAAATCGATTCTACATACATATGGGTCAGACAATTCCAATTAAACTGACTGTTACAATCAAATCAGGAATTAGTGAGACAAAATCTTTATCCTCAGTATAAACTTCCTCCAGGTCCTCAGCACTAAAATGTAAAAGCTGTTTTATCAGTCATTTAAATGGCAAAAATGACTAGCAAGCACTTTAAAGGATCGCCAATGCAAGACTAGTTACAATAAGTTTGGCATCTCTCACAGTCAGAGGCTATGGAAGTTCCACTGCCCACAAAAATGTGCTTTTCCTGGAAGACCTGTAAACAACTGAATACAACTCAGTTAACATTGCTGTCATTCCTTGGACCGTGAACTGCTTTTCTATACGCATGTCAAAATAAGTAAGCCATTGAGAACACAGGGCTCCGATCACAGTTCCAATTCAGTATCTCAAAAGGACCATATAGTAGTGCTAAAGACATCTTGTGTGCAACATGGACCTATCAGGACACAGCACAGAAAACACAAATCAAGGGCAGATTAAAGCAGGGTCCAGTCTGCCCTTGCGGTCATAAAGCATCTTGAGTTTGACTGAACGGATTTCATGTGCTTTAATAAAAACAAAAATTACATTCTCAAATAAGAAGCAACAAATTAAAAAAGAAGAAATGTTAGTTTGTTACATGTAGAATAGCAGATTGTAACATGCAGAGGATATAATGAATAAAACCCATGTTGGACAGTCACAAGAATCGGAATTTTGATCCATTGGCTAAGCGTTTCTTATTTTAGACGGTGTGTAGTTCTTATCTATAATTTCATCTTGCAGAAAGATGTGGAGGCATCGTTCATTCTGTGCCAAGGGGTGTCCTGCAACTCTGGAAATTAACCGGAAGAAAATATGTATGAAGCTGGCATTTGAAGCCACATTATCAATAGCAGTGTATTAAATATAGAATTTCAACATAAAAAGCATTTTTCTTTTTAAAGCTGAACTCCAGGACAAGCAAAAATTGTCTAAATACAAGAGCCGTGTGTATTCTTACTTGAATCTTGGCGTGCTTTGTGTACTCCTACCAGATCTCTGAAGTGTTAAAGTTTACCTCGGAGTAGGAACTTCCTGTGTAAAAGACCGGTCACTGCTGCTCTCTTCTTATGCAGGGTGACTGGTCTTGTACCCGCACTTTTAGTTTTCTGCAGGCAGTCTTCAGCGGGTGGAGCTGCGGAGCTGCTGGTCCCATCCCACAGCTCTGCTCTCTGCACAGACTATGTACAGCACAATTACTTTTACAAGGCAATTTATGTGTTGGCAAAGGCATATGGTACACACAATGTGGATTGAGGAATATATTTCAATGAATGTTTGTGTGTCCTGGGTTCAGCTTTGAATTAATATATGGGTTGACTCAATGCCAGACCACTACACACTGTTTTAAATGTGAAATTTCACAGATAACACGCTTTTCTACAATAATATACAATTAAAAAAATGTAAATATCATGCCAAATTTGAAGATATAACACATGAAACTAACAACTGGTAAGTTTACTAACAAATAAACTTCAGCAAATCAAACCTTATGCTAGAATACTACAATCTGCAATCAAAGCAAATAATTATCCCGGAATTGTGAACTGCATTGTTTCAGCGACAGGGGCATACGTTGAAACCAGCAAAAGCTATGGCATACCATGTAACCATCCATTTCAAAGGCAATCTGCATACATTAACTACACACTACAAACAGAAGGTCAACAATAAGAAGGCCTTGTCTTTAACTCATTCAGTACAAGGGGTTTCACAATGCAATCTGTTTATATGGTACAGGATAATTTTCTGGCACTTGAAAAGAAGCAGAAGATCATACTCACTTGTTTATAAATTGTTCAAGCCCTTGCTTTCTTTCCTCTATGAAAGAGTCATCAAAGATGCCTTCATCTCCTCTGAATGGAAGCTGTCTAAAAAGAGCCTTTCCAGGTAAGGGGGGCACCACAACCTGAATGAAACAGGAGAGAAAAAAAAAAAAGAAGGTTACCGACTATCTATGATCATATTTAAAGCCAATATCATTTTATGCAGAGATAAACACTGAAGTTAAAGTAAAAGCAATGGTGTACCGCCTGAATTTCAGTTCAGTGTTATATTTTAGCACACTAAAAATCTTTAATAAAACTTCAAGGCATAGGTTGTATAAAATATTTTTTTGTCATTAATTTGACTTGTATTTTACTAGCAAGACACAGAGATATGATGTGTGTAGCACCTGCCCTCCTAACCATCTTGCCCTGAATTCTATTGTATCCGAAATGTCTTCCTTATATTGTAAAACGTTAAACTGTTGGCGATAGATAAATCCTGTATACAAATTAAAATAATATTAATAATGTTCCAAAAGTCATGTAATGGTAAAAATAAATATAGTAGCATTAACATTAACATAATATCTAATCAATCTGTTCAGTAAATGAACACACACACACAAAAAAATAATCCCAAGAAGGATTTAGCGCTAGGCAGGCAGTCCTGCTGCTTACAGTACTCCAATACACAGACATGTATAACCTGTGGATTAGGAGCTTGAGTGGTCTTGGAGCCCTTTAATTAGATGCACAACACTTTTATAGTTCATTTCTTGCCCAGCACCAGGTGATCCAATGAAGAAACCCTACTGATCTTCTCAAAACCGTTTCGATATCAATAGCATACCACATGGACCTAACCACATGAAACCGCAACAAGCCTCGAACTAAACAGTCTACCTGTAATCAGACTGGCACCACTCCAACCTATGTGGTTCCCAGCCGCTGGACTCAGCCACCTCTAGTCTCACTCCTCTAGTCAGAGAAGAAATTCAAAACTCTTCAGCATCATCACTGATCTAATCAATGTATTCCATACAGATCAACCTCCAATAGGCACACAACCTCCTCTTCTTCACTCAGTCTCATTAAGTGATATTAAAGTCAAAACGTTTCCAAAAGCTAATTCAATCACTTACAATGAATGCTGCTCCTTGAAGGTTTAGCTTCTTGCTGATCCCCTGAGCACTGGTTACGATATCTACGGTTAGTCTTACCGCTAACGGTATTTCTAAGAATCTTCCAGGACAGCAACCTGAGAGATGATTGGATCTTCAGTCTACAGGAAACACAATCAGACAAGGTTAAAAACCCCTCCCAACCCCCTCGTCCCTCAGTATTCGGGCCGAAGTCACAGCTAACAAAAAAGCCATCTTCAAAGACAACCATTTAATGGGCAAGCTTTCAATGGGTTCAAAGGGATCCTTAGTAAGAATAGTCAGCACCAAGGACAAGTCCGATGGAGGAAAAAATTGCTTTGACAAAGGCATAATGCGTTCTGTTGCCAGGAAAAAACGTTTAATCAACGTATCCTCTGCTAATCTAATGTCCAAAAAAACAGAAAGAGCGGAAATTTGCACCCTCAAAGTACTCAGTGCCAACTTCTTATCCACACCCTCCTGAAGGAAGTCCAGAATGACTGGGACTGACGGGGTAGAGATCTGCTTTTGTGCGCACCATGAGGAAAACACTTTCCACACCTTGCTGTAAATCCTCCTTGTCACTAGCTTCCGACTGGATAGCAGTGTATCCACCACTTTTTGAGAACAGCCCTTATGTTCTAGGATCCTCCTTTCAACATCCATGCCGTCAAGCGAAAGAATTTTGGATCGTGATGCAAAACCGGCCCCTGAAGCAGAAGGTCCGGCCTGAGGGGCAAGATCCACGGAGGCTGAACTGTTCTTCTCTGAAGTTCCGGAAACCACATACTTTTGGGCCACCATGGAGCGATCAGAATGATCACGCAATCCGAGCAACTTAATTTCTGAATCACTCGAGGGAGAAGAAAAAGAGGAGGAAACGCATAGCCTAGGGAGAACTCCCAGTCCTGTGACAGAGCATCTACCCCGCTGGAATCCCTCTCCCTTGAAAGAGAAAAGAAGAGAGGCACTTTCCTGTTTTTCCGCGTCGCAAACAGGTCGACCGAGGGCATTCCCCACCTTTCGGCTATTTGGGAGAAAACCTCGGGGTGAAGCTCCCATTCTCCTTGAAGAATGGGTGCTCGACTCAAATAATCTGCTACCACATTGGATGTCCCTTTTATGTGGACTGCGGAAATGGAGACGAAATGCTCCTCTGCCCATAGAAGGAACTGAACCGTCTCTTGCAGTAGACTGGGGGACCTGGTCCCCCCCCTGACGGTTTAGATATGCTACAGTCGTCGCATTGTCCGAGAAAACTAGAATCTCCCGCCCCCTCCAGCCGGTGCTGGAAAGCTAGCAAGGCTTGTTTTACTGCTAATAGTTCCCTCAGGTTGGAGGATGCATCCACAAGATCCGGGCCCCAAAACCCCTGAGCTTGTAACCCCAGAGAATGAGCTCCCCACCCCTGCGAGCTCGCATCCGTAGTAACTTTCACGGGAGACAGTTGACCCCAAGCCCTGCCTTTCGACAAGGTCAGTGGATTCAACCACCAAGTCAGTGAATGACGCAACTCTACGGGTAGGGAGACTTGATTCTCCAGGGAATCCTTCTGATGATCCCAGTGTGAAGGAAGAAAAAACTGAAGGTGTCTGGAGTGCAACTGAGCCCATGTCACCGCTGGAATTGTTGAAGTCATGACCCCCAGGATTCTCATAACTTGTCTCAAGGACAGGAGATCCGCCCTTATAGATTCCTGAACTAGGTTTATGATACCGGCCACCTTCCCTTCTGGGAGAAAAAACCTTTGGGCTACTGAATCGATCTGAAACCCCAGGAATTTCCTGTAACGCGACGCAATCAGCGAAGATTTCTCCAGATTGATCAGCCAACCCAGACCCTCGAGCGTCTCCCTGACTGTCACCAAGTTCTGCAAAAGTTCCCCCTCTGAAGGGGCGAACAGGAGGATGTCGTCTAAATACGGAATCAGGGAAATCTTGCGCACGTGGAGGTAGGAGACTACCTCTGACAGAATCTTCGTAAAGACTCTTGGAGCCGCAGAGAGCCCGAAGGGCAGGGCCCTGAACTGAAAATGGAGAAACCCCCTTTCTGTCTGCACGGCAAATCTCAGGAACTTCTGATGTCCTGACCAAATTGGAACATGGAGATACGCATCCTTTAAGTCCAAAGTCACCATGAACAGATCTTTTTGCAAAATCTTCCGGACCGAGTATATGTTCTCCATCCGGAACCTTCTGAACAGGAGATACTTGTTTAATTTCTTTAAGTTCAGTATTAATCTGAATTTGCCCCCTGGCTTGGGTACAAGAAAAATATGGGAGTAGAACCCCTGAAATATTTGATCCTCTGGAACCGGGACAACAACGTCCTGGGAAACAAGATTTTGGACACATGCCCATAATGCCACTGCCTTTAAGCGATCTTTTGGCCGAGGCGTAAGGAAAAAAGTTTGTGGAGGGAGAGCCTGAAACTCCAACCGAACACCCTCTCTTATTAAATCTAGTATGTACTGATTTCGTGTGATTTCCACCCACTGGGGAAGAAAAAGAGAAAGTCTCCCTCCCACTTTCAATGTGGCGTCATTTTGACTCCTTGTTGGAGGAGTCAGGAGGAGTAAAGAGCAAACCTCCTTTTTGCTTATTTTTGCTAAAGGGCCATCTTTTCCTCTGATCCTGAGGTCTCCCCCCTTGTTTTTTTCTGGTCCTGGGGGCCTCGAAAAAAACCTACGATTGCGAAAGGGCCTTTTCTTCTCAGGGAATTTCTTCCCCTTTTCCGAGGATCTAGTCAACACGTCTTCAAAACCTGGACCAAAGAGCAACTTCCCCTCAAAGGGCAACCCACACAACTTGGATTTAGAGGAAACATCCCCCTCCCAAGACTTCAGCCAGATAGCTCTCCTAGCTGAATTGAGAAGAGCTGCTGATCTAGCCGATGCTCGAACAGATTCAGCCGCAGCATCAGCCAGATATGCAACTGCTTTACTCACGACTGATAGAGAATCTATCACTTGTTCCGCAGGGGCCCCTAGGGAAACATGCTGTGAAACCCTTTCCAACCACAAGTCTAAGTTCCTAGCCACACAGGTGGAGGCCAAAGCCGGGGTCATAGCAGAGGAATTTGCATCCCATGCTTTTCGCAACAAGGCCTCTGCTTTGCGATCCATTTGATCTTTCAGATTCCCTGAATCCACAAAGGAGAGGTCCTGTTTTTTAGACACCTGCGATAATGCAGCGTCTAATTTAGGGCATTTAAAAAATTTCTCCTCTTCTTTACCGAAAGGAAAACGCCTCTTCCAAGACCGAAAGGCTAAATGCTTCCTCTCAGGATCCTTCCATTCACCTAAAACTAAATCTTTTAGTGTTTGATGGAAAGGAAAAACTCTACCTTCGGAATCCTGCAACCCCCTGTAAAGCCTATCTTGCACAGAACAAGCTTTTGGAGGTTCAGGAATCTGTTCAGTAGTATAAATAGCCTGTAACAGATCGTCCATGTCTCTAGAGCAAAAAGGTGACGTGGCGGTTGAATCTCCATATTCCCTTCTACAGCCTCTCCCTCTTCTAGGGAACTGTCAGTATCTAAACCAGAATGCTCCTCTTTCTCTTCTACCCGAGTAAAAGCAGAATTAGAAAGTGAACAAGGGAGAGCAGAACTTCCAGATGGCCCTGCAGAGGCAATCGAGGAGGTAGTGATTGGCAACAGTTCAGAAAAAACATTCTTGAAAGATTGCACAGCAGTCACCATTTCATTACGCATACTGGCCATAAAGTCCTGCATAAGTGATGAAGATTCACTCAACATAACCTTCTGTATACACTGTTCACAAATGGCCTTGGAGTAATTCAGAGGTAATTTAACATTGCAACTGCCACACCGCTTCTTCAATGCTTTAGAAGATGAGGCAGAAGGTGGAACTGCTAATTGGGCTGCAGACTTGTCCCCCAGAAGTGCATCCTGAAGAGAGAGGCACAAAACACTGTATCAATACAGCTACTGGGAGCAATAAGGGCACCCCCCACCTAGACTACACCCAGTCCCTCGAAAAGCATCACTCACCGCTACCTTGGACCTGGGTGCAGACATCGCTGGCTTGGCTTCTTCCTCCATTTCAGCCTCGGCGGCGTGCGGCAACTCCCCTCTCTGTCTGGCCAGCGTCTCCGTGGCGAAGGGCGGAAGTGACGTCACGCCGGACCGGAAGTGACACTTCCTAACTCAGAACGAGGCTTGGAACCCGGAAGTCCCGCCTCCTTTGCCCTCCACCACGAGGCAAGCTCCACAGAGCACCAAACAGGGCAAACAGCACGGGGGAAAGATAAGCTAAGTGTCTACCATTAGGTTTGGGAGAGACTTAGCTACCTCTTCTAAGGGAACAACCTCTGTACCACAAGAAGGCAAGGCTCAGGAATCCAGTACCCTAGCAGAGCCCTACAGAGGGTGACTGCTGACCTCAAGGCCATCCAGTCGGGACAAAGAAACAAACATTGCGCTGACCCAGACGGTAAGAAACACAATCAAAAACTGTGGTTCCCCTCGTGCACTGGTGGAGGTATTCTACTTTAATCTCAACTGAGGGACGAGGGGGGTGGGAGGGGTTTTTAACCTTGTCTGATTGTGTTTCCTCTAGACTGAAGATCCAATCATCTCTCAGGTTGCTGTCCTGGAAGATGATTGGAGAAATCCTGTTTTAGAGTGACTCCATTTCCTTGCAGGGTCCTATGGAGCCTTCCTTGTGTGTGCCAGTAAGCATTGTGTGTCTCTGCAAACACAAAGACAGCAGGGCAACCCACTCCCCTATTCCTCTGCTTCCCACTCCTCCCTCTTGCCTTCTCCAGCTAGATTAACAATTGTTCTAGACTGAACAGTCCGTTTGGGGAAGATCTAACAGAATTGGAGCCAGCTGCTTGGAAACATGATGACTAAGTGCTGGAGCAAAAATGTAAAGAAATACTTTACTGGGCAAAGTATATTTGTTTGATCCGGATTCATTGTTGAAGAAAAAACTTGGAGAGTTTAATACTACTTTGCCACACTTGCCTTGTATGCTTCTTTGGTAACATGCCGGGAAGTAATCTTTGACCCTTAAAATTCACCTTTTCAGGCAAGCTAATAATCTGGTCACACACTTCACTTTAGGCCTGGTTCACACCTGGGCGTTTTGTAGCGCGTTCGAACGCTCTGCAAAACGCTCAAACACCGAAATCCTATTATTTCCTATGGGTATGGTTCACACCTGGGCGTATTACAGGGCGTATTACAGGTCGTATGAACGCGCTACAAAACGCCCTAAGTACAGGAGCTTCTTTGGGGAGTTTTTGTTGCGCGTTTCCATTGGGATACAGCCAAGTAGCCCGCGGTAAAAACGCGCGACAAACACGCATATTGGATACGCCTAGGTGTGAACCCAGCCTTAGTGAATAATCTTCCACTATTCAGCAAGACACAAATTGTCACAATGTTACTTTTTCCATTACCCCATTTCTACTCTTAAAGGGACATTAAAGTCACATTTGTTTTCCTCCCTCCCCCAATGCTGCTTACCCTAAAGGATCCCTCTTGATCCAATCATCTGCTTTCCACTTGTATTCAGCAATCCCTCCAGCGCTGGTGCCGGTCTCTGATCCAGTGCCGACTGCTGCATCTCCTGTGTCCCACGGTTTCTGTGCAGGTGCACGCTGTATGCATTTACCTAAACTGTGTCTCTCCTCTTATACCCGGCCAAAGATCTCTACTGCGCATGCGCCCGCAATATGATCCTTCACGGCCACCTGAGAGTCTTCAGAACTTCGGATGGGAGCGAGCGAGCGATGGAGACACAGGTAACCTTTAACCTAATTGGTAGCTTTTTTTATGTGTTTGCATATATCTACTGCTTGCTAGCAGTAAATATATGCACAAAAAAAAAAAAGGAAGCTTTAATTCTACTTTAAATCCTCTAAAGCCTATGTTTGTGCAGGCAGTATCCCCAATACTGTATTTGTTTTATAAGTACACACTATAAAACAATTAAGGATTTTTTCCCCCCCAAACTAAAACAATTCAACATCTTGTGAACCATAAGGCCCTGTTCTAGGATCATCCAACTTATGTTCCGCCAGCTGGATAATAAGATACCGATGATTTTGATTCACACAATAGCAGTACCTCAAAGTAAGAATGTAGAATTGCAATGTTTGTGCTAGAGCTATCAAGTTGTGAAGATGTCACATTAAAATTCATATTTCGGCATGATGTTTTGAGAAATGGCAGAAATTTGAGATAAATTAAAAAGATCTTCCTAAGCACCTGATCAGGATTAATGGAATTGTAACTTCAAATAAGCTATTCCATCAAATGACTTACCTTGCTTTCACGTTCAAGCTCACTCCTTAGCCATTCAAAGTCACTGTATCTTCTGCGGACACTAGACTCTTTCAACTTAAAAATTGGGAGGTTTGTCTGGGGGGAGGGGGGAAAAAAAGAAGAGGACGTGAGAGATTGAGGCACATTTTTCCAAGCAATAAAATGTAAACATTGTTATAACATTTTAACCACTTCAAGACCAGGTGTTTAGACCCCCTTCCTGGCCAGGCCATTTTTTAGTATTCAGCTCTGCGATATGACTGACGTTTATTCCGTCATGCGACGCTGTACTGAAATTAATTTTATACCATTTTTTGGGGACAGATAGAGCTTTCTTTTGGTGGTATTTAATCACCGCTACGGGGTTTATTATTTACTATAATTAGGAAAAATTACTGAAAATTTTGAAAAAAAAAAAGTTTTTTTTAACATTATGTTAGGAAACATTTATTATTACCCAGTTTTTTAGTAAAATATAAAAGTCGGGGTCAGGTCGGGTAAATAGACACCAAACATGTCAAGCTTTAAAATTGCGCGCACACGCGACATCGCAGAAAACTACCATAGCCAAAATTGGCCATAGGCGACACTATAAAAGCTTTTACCGCTCATCAGTTTAGAGTCATCAGTGATTGATGGCCCTAGACTTATTGCTCTCACTCCGACGTTCGTGGCGATATGCAACGTGCGGTTTAATGGGCGCAATCGTCTTTTTTGCACGTATGCGCCCCCGACGCATGTTTGCATGCGTGTATGTATGGGTGGGGACTTTAAAACATTTTTTTTTTACATTCTTTTTTATGTGTAACTTACATTTTTTTGGGGGGAGGGGGACTTTAATTTTTTTTTTCACTAAACTTTATTCCCATCACATACGGGGGCTAATAAAACCCCCCTATGTGATAGCAAAATATGCGACAGGTCCTCTTTATGGAGCCATCAGGGGTCTCCAAGACCCCTAATGTCACCTAGGACCCCCCAAAAGAAGCTGATGAAGCACAGATCTGCTCCATCAGCTTCTTTGCAGCTTCTGAAGCTGGAGAGTGACACAAGAATGCGGAAGTGATGTAATATACAACACTGTCGCATTCTTGCAGAGGAAAGGGTACCGGAGGGAGCTCGTGTAACGAGCTTCCTCTGATCCCGTTACACAGGCATGGTGCTGATCCCTGGCTCGCACGCTCAGATGTAGAGAGCTCCCGGCCGGCCGTTTTCTTACTACGGCCGGCCCGGAGGCAGTTAAACTTAAATGCCAAGTATACCAATGCAATACATGATTGTGAACTCTTTCAACCGGCCACATTGCTCATACTTTTAAATCAATGTAGAAAAGGAGTAAAACAACAGCACATGCAGGCAGCAGCTATTGCCAATGTAAAGTGGACCTGTAGTCCTGGCTCAGGTCGGGAGCGCGCACACAGACACCATGTAACATTCCAGAGAAAAGGCAGTCAGCTGCAAAACAGAAGTTCTCCCCAGCATGAGAAGAGATAAGGATTTAAAAGGAAGAGCAGCAAAGAGAAGGGAAACTACCATGGATTACAGTAAGGCACATTACAGTACTGTTTTATGTTAAAAACTCTGAGGGTTTAATGTCACTTTAAGCTGGATATACACTGTACGAATTTCATTCAGTTCTTGATGAACCGGATAAAATTTGTTCAGTAGGTGGCCCTGTCCGCTCCCTTCGATCTGGCATTCAATCAGCTGCCATCACTGTTCAGGCATTCAGAATACAATAGCCCAGAGGAACATTCATCTATCCATGTTGTTTAGCCTGGATGGAGGAATCGGTTATATTTTTTTCATTCAGCCTGCAGGCTGAATAAAAAAATATAGCAAGGTATGGCTAGCTATACTTTCACACAAGAAGTGGTAGCTTTCATAATATGAGAGCCACGGGTTCTAAGTCAATGTACTGCAATCAACTTAGAATGGCTAAAGTACTTGTCAGCCTCATGCCTTTTAGCATTATCTTGGCATCAAACAAATACACCCTATCAGAAGGAAAGAACAAGGCCCCTTTCAGATTGGTGGTTTGATCAGGTCTGCCTGTCAGTTTTTCAGGGGGACCCGATTGAATGCCCAATCCAAGTCTATAGGCAGCTGGATCTAAACGGACGTGTGTTCGTTTACATCCGGTTGCCCCCGGCTCTGGCCAGATCCAAAAAAACAAACAGAACAGCATTCCATTTTTCCGGACCTGATCATGCCGGATCCAGAGTAATTTGATGTAAACCGAAAAATGTCAGTTTACATCCGATTCACCATAGACTAGGGATGCACCAATACCGTTTTTTTGATGCTTTGCTTTCGGTACTTGTCGATACAGAGTACCGATACTTCTGTGGGCATGGAGCAGGCTTCCCAGGCAATGTGATTGCCTGTGAAGCTGGTTCCATGTTGACTGGCCGACTTGATTGTACTTGGCCGGGAAACCGGCTTCCCAGCGAATCGGCGTTGAGACAGCTTCCCGGCCAATCCCAGCTTCCGGATTGGCCGGGAAGCCAGCTGGATGATGGTTCAGCAAGGAGTCATCTGTTCGGCCAATCAGGATGCCGGGAGGTAGGTCATTACTCGCCGCCCAGCTTCTTGATCGCACTGGAAGCTGGCTTCATGTTCCCCTTCCTCTGACCGGAAGTTCTGGTATCGGAGCATTTGGGCGAGTACGAGTACTCACCCAAATACTTGATATCGACACCAATACTAGTATTGGTGCATCCCTACCATAGACCGACATGGGGTCCGGTCACATCAGTTTTTTTTCCTGCATCGCAAGATGGAGGGAAAGTAAACTGGACAAAGCTGGACCAACACTGATGTCACATAGGTGACATCTGATCCTCTCCTGACCGGATAGTGTGAAAGGGGCCTTACGTTTTAACTTACCTTAGCGTCTAAGGCAAGTATCTTTTTTTTTTACTGTAAGACTAACGTAGCTCCAGTGCATGCTGGCATTTGCTTTCTGTCAACAGGGATGTATGTTTTTATCCACAAGGCAGGATTACAGTGGTCATGAAGATGGAAAAATATTAAATCCGGTAAGAAGAATGGTATCAGCTCTTTCCTACATCATCTCTGTTGGCTTTTTACCCGACTTCAACTCTACACGTTTGGTGTTAGAGAAAAGTGGAGAAGACAGAAGTCTTTACAGCTCAGTGTTTTCTGCAGGTGATATTTTGCATTTCAAAGTCCCTCCTCTCAAATTACTTTACAAAAGAGGATTAGCTGCTCTCTTCTAGTGACCCTGTAAAGATCAAGTTTGGGAAGACTGTTTAGAAGAATTTTCATACACTGGGTACGGAAGTCTATAAAGTTAATCTCTGAAATAACAGATCAAGTTTACATATACAATACAAGGAGTAGAAGTGCCAATTCATCTCATCTTACCATGCATTTTCCTCATTCTGAACTTTTGACATAATGATGGGTGTGAAACAGAAAGAAAAAAAAAAAAGCACACACAATTCCTGCGTAGGTCTAAAGGGAAGTTCAGTTTTGAATTTTTTGACAAAACTGTTAAAATCCTGGAATTTCCCCACTTGCACTTTTTTCTCATTCATACTAGAGAAGTACAAACTACAGAAATAGGCAAGTCTCAGAATGCTGATTGGATTATGTCTTAAAGAGCAATTCCGGACAAGCGACCACTGCTTTACTAATGCTATCCTGCAAACCCTGCAGTGGTGTAAAATCAGAAAGATCACCTTTTGCATTCATTGGAGTTTTGTGTAACCCACTGCTTCCCGAATTTAGAGTGCACCTCACAGGGTCACTAGGACTACTGTTTTTAAAGCCTATGCTATTGCACCTTCCTCTATCTTAGTTTCCATATTGTAATGATCTTTGTAAACCAGGATTTCCCTGTCTCTTATATTCAAATTTTGCCAAAATAAAAATGTTCAGAACCTTGCCACACTTCCGAACCTGAGAAGACTACCTTTTACTCATGCCATTAGTCTCTTGTTCTTCCAACCGCACCTCTCGAGGTTAGCCTCCAAACAGGAGAGAGAACAATCTTTCCTTAGCCCTTTCCAACTGAAGTACACTAGTTTCCATATTACGGACAGTAAACTATTTACATATTCTTAACAAGCAAGAACTCTAAACAAGCCCTCACTTACCTCTCTAGCTACATGTAATGTAATACACATCACTCCTGCATTCAGTGATCAGAGGGGAGCTCAGTAGGTGGACGTGTGCTGATCTCCCTCCGATCCAGGCAACAAGATCCACCATACAGGTCCCGGGCACGCACAGGGAACAGCGTAGCCTGGGATAGCCAGTGGCCCACTCCCATGCAAGCTCTATAGCTTGTATATTAAAATTCTCACCATGTCCTGCTAGGGAGCATGTGCAAGCAGGAAAAAAAAAAACGCTCTATAGAGAGTGCCATCCGCCCGTCTATATAGACTGGGTGGACGGAAAGTAGTTAAAAATGTTTTGTTACCAGATTGTCATATAGGAGCTGGATTGTTTTAAGATTGTTGTTACATTAGCCCCCTATGCCTTTGTCAGTGATGGTTAGAGGGCTTCTCTACTACTGTTTTGGCACTTGAAGATGCCAAATCAGGCTACCATAAAAAAAGTAAATAAAATAGAAAATTGGAATGGTAACTATGACAATTGAAGATTTAATCTAATTGAACTTTAAAAGGTTACAAATGAGTTTCATGATCAAATGACATAAAAAACTGCTCGAGTAATGGCTTAGTTTGCTAATGAAGCTAGTTAAAAATCTTTCAAATGCTTTTTCCCCATTTCATTTACGAACAATTGAATCGGCTTTTGCCAGTGACACAACAGTAGTATTGAAGGCTATCAGCAATCACTGTTAAATTATATTGCCCAGTCCAGATTACAAAACATTTCTAGTCAGAGAAGAGCCTTCTCCTGTCATACCATCCACCCAGAGGCTTGGGAATAAGTGGGGAAATCACACTTTTATTTTCCTGCCCATGTTAAGGCTTTCACACTGTCATTCCTGTGTTTAGCTTTTCAAAATGTAGGATACATTATCTGGGAAACAACTTTTATGCTTCCCAAACCCCTTTTCCTGCATTTAGATGCCCCTGCCTAAAGTGGACCTTTACCTT